TGTGTGTGTGTGTGTGCGCGCGTGCGTGCGTGCGTGTGTGTGTGTGTGTGTTATCTCTGTCAACAGTCATTTGGCTTCATTTGCCCCTGATTCTTTGGACAGAAAGTAAGACATGATTGAAGATTCTTTCACAAAAACACACAGATTAGAAGAAATATAAAACTAGAATAGAATTAAGCAAGGCTGAATATAAATTAGAAAGGAGTTGAATGGAGTCAAACCAAGTAGAGTTGAGAAGTTTAGAATGAAGTAGAACAAAGCTAAATCAAGTAGAAAAGAACTGAACTGGGTCAGAAAGAGTTAAATAAAGTACAGCAGAATTGAAGTGTAGAATAGAGTTGAATGGAGCAGAACAACTTAACAGATTTGAACAGGGACAAACAACGCAGAGTTGAGAAGATTAGAATGGAGTAGAACAGCTTTATCAAGTAGAAAAGAACTGAATTGGGTCAGAAAGAGTTAAATAGAGCAAAGCATAATTAAAGAGTGTAGAATAGAGTTCAAAAGAGCAACTGAACAGATTCGAATGGGGTTTAAACAGAGTTGAAAAGATTAGAATAGAGCAGAACAGCTGAATCAAGTAGAAAAGAACTGAATTTGGAAAGAAAGAGTTTAAATGAGTTGTAAAGCAGAATTAAAGACAGTAGAGTTGAATAGAGCAGAACAACTAAAGAGATTCGACAGGGGTCGAACAAAGTAGAATTTAGAAGATTAGTGGAGTAGAACAGCTATATCAAGTAGAAAAGAACTGAACTGGGTAGAAAGAGTTAAATAGAGTAAAGCAGAATTCAAGAGTGTAGAATAGAGTTGGACAGAGCAGAACAACTTAACAGATTTGAACGGGGACAAACAAAGCACAGTTGAGAAGATTATAATGAAGTAGAACAGCTTTATCAAGTAGAAAATAACTGAATTTGGGACAGAAAGAGTTAAATAGAGTAAAGCAGAATTAAAGTGTAGAATAGAGTTGAATGGAGCAGAACAACTGAACAGATTTGAACGGGGACAAACAAAGCAGAGTTGAGAAGATTAGAATGAAGTAGAACAGCTTTATCAAGTAGAAAATAACTGAATTTGGACAGAAAGAGTTGAAATGAGATGTAAAACCGAATTAAAGAGAGTAGAGTTGAATAGAGCAGAACAACTAAAGAGATTCGACCGGGGTCAAACAAAGTAGAATTTAGAAGATTAGTGGAGTAGAACAGCTATATCAAGTAGAAAAGAACTGAACTGGGTAGAAAGAGTTAAATAGAGTAAAGCAGAATTCAAGAGTGTAGAATAGAGTTGCACAGAGCAGAACAACTTAACATATTTAAATGGGGTTGAGAAGATTAGAATGAAGTAGAACACAGCTGAATCAAGTAGAAAACTGAACTGGGAAGAGTTGAATACAGCAAAAGCAAAATTAAAGTGTAGAATGGAGTTGAATAGAGCAGAACAACTGAACAGATTTGAATGGGACTGAGAACTAGAATTGAGAAGATTAGAATGAAGTAGAACATGGTTGCATCAAAGCATAGCTCAGTAGCTTAGTACACATAAGGTACATATCAGACAGTTTCATTTGTCTGAGTACAAGGTTTTATTTTTTCAATTTAGCACCGTTTTGTCTCACTTCTCAAGAATCAGTGATGTGTGTGTGTGTGTGTGTATATATATATATATATATATATATATATATATATACTG